TGAAGTAGTTGGTATCTTGGAAGGTCGATCATGGTTAAGGAGGGTTATCTGTTGAAGAGTGATGGATGGTTAACTTTGTAGTTGAGGGTATCGAAGTAGACAACAATAGTTTGCAGAGGTAAGTTTGTGGATGAGAATAGATTGTAAGTTTATTTAACCTAGGAACATGAAGGAGCTGTGGAATTTGCGAGTAGTAGAAAGAAGACCTTTGTTGGTGTAAGAAATTGAGTGTTTGTTCATCGTCGATCAAGGCGTGCTGGGCATCCTGATAAATTTGAGGGTTGAATTAGTGATTAGGATTAGCAGTAAGATGGGTGAAGGCCTCTATGTCTATGAATCAATTTTTAATGGTCATGGAAGGTGCCATTATAATAGTTGAGTAAGTAGGTAAGTTGGACATCTTAATCAATTACGTACCAGCAACAAACATCAGTGTGTGTTTGTATCTGATATGCTGTTCTACAAAGTTAAATGTTGCTTTTACACTTTTGGGAGATTGGAATGCTGGGTGAACTATGCTGGAGGTTGTGCCTCCTTGTCGTTGGGACTAATGGCCTGATCGACTTCTACCTCTTCCTTGATTGCAGCTGTAGTACCGCGAACCTTTTTTTCCTATTTGGTTCCCTACCGACCTTCCCTTCCTATCCTAGCCTTTTCCTATTATATTACCTTTCCTTTTTATTTTCTTTCCTTTCTTATGACCTTTTATTCCTATTCACTAGCTTCTATTACATATGTGTCATGTGCTTGTTTAGATTTCAAATTTTGATTGTTTTTGATTTCAGATTGTGGCCTCTAAGATGTTTTCCCGTCTGAGGGACTTATCTAAAGACGAGAAGTTGCTCCAACTGTTGCTCGTCTGAGGTGGCGACCATTCCCAAAGGATCGAGTGGTACTTCAGATGTATTTTGATATGTAGGGATATTAATCCTTACTTAAATCCTCTGCAAGCTTTCCAAACATCCCCCCTTACTGTCGTCGTCCCCAGATAGTCTTCCCATCGCCGCCCTTTGTTGTCCCAACCACCTTTCAGACCCTCACCTTTGTTGTTGCACCCCTCTAATCCTTCCCCTTGCTGTTATATCTCTGTCCTCCATCTGACATCACCAGCTCAACCCCACAAGCCTTCCCTTTTTTTTCATATCGCTGTCCAACCATTCCATGCTTACTGACACCTCAAAATAGCCACCCAAAATCCGTTCCCTGTTACAATCTCCACCTTCCAACTACCACCCAACCATCCCAATCACCTACCAACAATCCCAAACCCCTAAAGATCATCACTATCAACTTAAATCTGTCATAATGTGAGTTTTTATGTTGTATTTATTGTAATTCCCCTTCCAGTGTGTGAGTAATCGTTTCTTTTGAGTAATAATATTTGCTTTCCCTATTTTGTATATCAAATATCAGAGCTAGCCTAACTTTATTCATATCCTAGGGTTTCCTAGCATCCTCCTTACCCCCTCTAACAAAATTTTTTCTTTCATATTCCCAAACCATAGCCACATTTTGACATATCCCTAATTCTCCTTTGCTGATTTATAACATCAACCCTAAATTAAATTCTCGACACCGTCGACTAGTCCACTAGACCCTTTTTCATCTCTCAACTCTAAACCTTAGCCATGCCACCAAGGAGATACTCCCTCGAGTCTACTCAAGAAAAGGTGCAGCAAGAGATCCGTCGACATTAGCGGAGGCTTGCGGACATTAAGGATGAAACCCACTGGGAGACTACCCTCAACCTAAATCGGGAGAGTTGAAGGGGGAGCCAGAGACGAGGATCTGAATGCCTTCTATCTGAAGGATTTTAGTGATGAAGAAGGAAAGCCATGAGACTTGGAAATTCAATATCGAAGGAGGTCGAGAGAGGAGACCACACATTTAGAATGAGAGAATCTGAAGATGAAGCGAGAGATACAATGTCAATTCCTACCAGTTTACTGCAGAAGACAACTACAGACCTTAGCTTCAAAAGGGGAGAGACATCATCACTGAGTGACCACTCCATCTTACAAATAGAGTTCAACTTCAGGATCTTATAACCAAAAGAACACCTAGAAGAACATTCACGACGATCGTGTGAGAAGAAAAGCTGATTTAGAGTGGAGAACATGCAGAACCAATCCACATTCCAAAATCTGTCACAACCAAAAAATTTTGCAAGTACCAGTTTAATTAGACTGCACAACCAGTAGGTGTTCTGTTTCAAGGAGTAGGACGTTATTGAAAAAATAGGTAATTACATAGTTGACATTGAAGACGACGAGGACACAAAGCAGGAGGACTGTCTTCATATTAACAGTGATCCAGAAGAAGATGAAGTCTTTGAAGAGGATTCTCAATTTTCAACCAATGAGGAAGAGACAATTGATTCCAATTGAATAGAGATTTCAACTGAGGTAATATCAACTGTTCTAGAAGGTATTGGCTGATGTAATGGGCATTCCGACAGAGTGCGAGATTATGGTGTCTCGAGTTAGGATTTTGAAGACATTGAGAAGAGCATCAACTGGATTGCCCTTGGATATCCAAAGGGGCCATTAGTTTGGTGAGCCGAGATTAGACACATGACAACCCTCAGTAATAGAATTCAAATCATTTAAATCCATAGACTAATCTTTGAGTTGCCCCTACTGAGGGAGGTCCCACATATAAGAGATGAGACTATTTTGTGCCATGTCCAAAAGTTTTCTAAGAGTCATTCAAATTTTAGATTCAGTTCAGTATAGTACTCATCTTCGGATGTCCATGCAGGAGGGTTTGAAACCCAACTTTGAAATTTGTATTAGGAGCTTGATGAGGAAGACAACTCTTCTATGAGATCCAGGTCTTGTCAGTAAAGAAGAGAGCTCTCTTGAGTAGTTGTTAGTGAGTGATGTGCGACCTATCACAAATTTCACCCCATAGTTGATTTATCCTCACATATTAATTTATCAGTTATATTCCACAGAGGACGAGAGGTGGACGAAGATTTTAGACTTAAGAGAGCTCAAAAGTTACATTATAGGAAGCAACATATATATGTAACTTTAGCTTATGATGTGCCAAGAAGGGATGCATATTCATTTTATCAAGACCTGTAGTGGAATGCCACATGATGGACCTTTTAGCGGATTGCGATTTATCTGCTACCATCAATATGACTGACTTGACTATGTGCTATAAGGAATCAAAAGCTGCAACGAATGAAGCCGAAGCCATCCCAACGACAGGAGATTGACGTGGGAGCTTGGGCCACGGTACTGTAGCAGCTACAACACCACATTCCTTTTCTTCCAATTTGATTTTTTGTCCTTTCTATTACTTGTCTTGCCCACCTCGCATTCCTTCTATAGCCTCTACCTATTATTATATTACCTTTACATTTTATTTTCTTTCCTGTTCTATGTCACTTTATTTCTATCTATTAGCTTCTATTACATATTGTGTTGTGTGCTTGTTTAGAATTCAGATTTTGATTGTTTTTTATTTCAGATTGTGGCCTTTAATTCGTTTTTCTTTTCGAGGGCTACATCCAAAGACGAGAATGTGCTCTTGCTGTAAATTGTTCGAGGTGGTGACTGCTCCTCAAGGATCGTGTGGTGCTCTGATTGTATTTCGACCCCGCAGGGATATTTATCTTTACCCAACTCTTTTGCAATCTATCCATCCATTCCCCCTCTCTGCCACAGTCCCCAGACAACCCTCTCATCTATTCTCCCACAGTCCATCGCCCTTCCCCTTGGCCACGCCTTGCTGTCCTACCACCTATTTCACTATTTTTGCTTTCCCAGACCCTCACCTTTGTTGCAGCCCGCCAATCCTTCCTTTTGTTGTTCTACCTCTATCCTGCCATCTGACATCACCGTCGCTACCCCACAAACCTTTCCCCTTGCTGTCATATTGCCATTCAGTCATCCCATCCTTACTGCTATCCTCAAAACAGCCACACAAAATTCCTTCCCTATTACAACCCCCTCCTTCTAACCACCACCCAACTATCATATTGCCATTCAGTCATATTGCCATTCAATCTTCTACCAAGACTTCCAAACCCCTAATGACCACCACCACCAACTTAAATCCCGACCTAGTGCGAGTTTTTGTGTTGTATTTGCTATAATTCCCCCTTCAGTGTGTGAGTTGAAATCGTTTATTTGCTTTTCCCATTGTGGTTTGGGTTAACTCTGGTATCATTCATTGTGATGAATTTAGAATCATTTGCTTATCAATTTGTTGGTTGAAGCATTGTCACGAGCAGCTTTATTGGTGATAATAATTACTTCACTATGTAAGATTGATGGGTCGAAGCGTGGTGTGAATGGCAGTCTTGAAATATTTTTAAGCTGTTGGTATGCCATTTAGTGCTATAAACTATAATTTATTTCGAGTCAATGGAGTAACATGCAGTTGTAATGACATCGACTTTAACTTTTACATGAACTTGATATTGTGTCATTGATTGCTTATTTATGTACAGATTGTGTAGCTCATTTTTGTGTTGGATAACTCATGTCCTGTTGGTGGATTGCAATCTTTGATCAAGCGTTTTCCATATATTTCAATAAAAATCGAAGTTGAGAACATGCAGAAGAAGAGAGGAGTGAGAGAAAACAACATCAGGTAGAGGCGAGATTTTGATCAACCAAGATCCATAAGCTGTAATTATGGTTTTTATGCAGTTACCATTGGTGCCATCAAGTATTCTTAAAGCCATTGGTTCAAACTAACTTGAGGACTTTACTAAGTGGGATGCTTTTTTATTGTAAGCTGAATGTTTACTGTCCTTTTTTTTGGCCATCAAGAATTTGATTTGGACAGGAATAGAGTTTTCTTCCATTTTGGATGATGAGCTGGCTTTGGAACTGAAAGAAGTGGTGCTCAAAAGGTTCATGGGACATAGAGTTCTACAGGCTTTTGATGATATAGATTTTGAGGCTTGGATTCGGATGCCATTTAAAAGATAACTCGTTGATATGCTAAGAAAAGCAGCAAGCAGAAATTGGAGAGGAGATGAAATATTGGAAATAGAGGAAGCATTTTCACTATTCCATTGTAATTCTCTGCAGCAAGGTTATGTACAAGAACTCATAGTTATAGATGATAAGTATATGCTATTTTAGTAGTTGATAGTGATGGATGTTTGTGCTGCTCGTTATTGCCATGAGATGGAAATGGTTTGATATATGGATGACAGTGATCAAAAGTGATTGCTGAGGGACAATATTCCTTTTTATAATTTTGAAGTGTTTGAAAAGATTAAAATTCATGTTGATGTCTAACTACATCCAACTAACTGTTGCAATCTAGCGAAAGAATGTTTTCAAACTGAGTGTTTCAAAGAATGTTTTCCCTATTCAAGTAACCAAATGAGCTTGGGGGTAGTTTGGAAATGTACACCTAATTTTAGAAAATGCCCAATAGGATAAGATGTGTGGATTAGTATCATATATGTCAATGAAGTAAAATGGCCTACATTTTGGTACATGCAGTGGCACAATGCACCTCCAGTGCCATCTACCTAGCGTGACATACAAAAGTGCACATTTTTTGCGCTATTTATAAGCAATGACGCATGATGCATTGCACTGATTGTACGGGCTATATATTGATTTTGAGGATTTGGTATTAAAAAAATTATATATATGTATATATATATATATATACATATATAAAAGGGAAATTTGTCATGGAGTACTTTGGAAAGACCATTGATATTTATGAAAAAAGCCACAATATTAGAGAGTGATTTTAAGTCAAATGGAAGCAATCTTCATTTAACATTGTTGCAAACGAATATGAAGATGGTAAGTTTGACGAAGAAGATTTTGATTTATGAGATAACCATGATATTGATGAAGGAAGTTTTTTTGATTTGATGATGATAGTTTTTTTGTTGATGTTTAGTTTAATCTCTTACAAAAATATTAGACTTACAAATGGATTATAAGATTTTTAATTGCAAGTGATTGAGATGTTGAACACCTAAACTTGGAAAAATTCTCGCGTGCGTGCGCTGAACCAATAAAAATACTCCCTTTACAAAAAATGTATGTCAGTGGGCCCTACTTAATTTTTTTTTTAAAATCTTATTGGACAGTGCACTCAAATTGAATTTGCGTGCGCTGTCCGCACCGAATAATCACTCCTAAACTTGACCATCGTTTTAGTTTTTTTTTTCTCATGATGTTTTATCCTTTAATAATAGTTATTCATATCAATAATTTTTATAGGATTATATATTTTGTCATGTTTAAAATCTCCTGCTGCCTTTCCACTATAGCTCCATGGGGACTTTCATGCTATGGTGCGCTATTCATTGACAAGTTGATTAATATTAATGGAAAAGGGATGTATTTAAGTTAACATAGATGGTTTTTATAATTATTTGCAAAGAATTGGTTTAACATCTTCAGGCAAATCTCACGACTAACAAATGTAAAATGATATCCATAAAGCTTGCCCCTAATATGTGGGACGAGACAAATGATGTTTATCTTAACTTTTGAGTTTTGATTTTCTTTTGACAATGGTTAGGTTTTCTTAGGTCCTATTCTCTAATATAGTCATAGCCGTATAAATAACCTTTCAAATTTATATTTTGCAAAGCCTTATAGATATGTTGAACCATATTTGGGATAAGACTAGTGACGTTGGTGATGATTATGTGAAATGACCTGTAAATGTATAGCATAATATTGAGATCTTACTTTCTATTTCTGTATAAAAGGGCTTGCTGAACTTTACTACTTGTTCATATATGTTTTATTTTTATATTAAATTGACGCGGCAACCGTTGTCTAACATTTACTTTCATTCAGGTACTAACATTTACTTTCATTCAGGTACAACATGATTGATCAGGGACTTGTCAGGGATCCTGTTTTTTCTTTTTGGTTTAATAGAAATTCAAATGATGGCGATGGGGGTGAAGTAGTGTTTGGAGGGTCTGACCCTAATCATTATGAGGGTGAACATACTTACGTCCCTGTGACACAAAAGGGATACTGGCAGGTGGATCCTTAATCCACCAATCAGATTGAATGGATTATGGAATTGATTTTCATATTCAGTTGAGTGGTTAATGTTGCTAATTAAAATTTTTTTTTTCCGGTTTTATTTTTTCATGCAACAGTTTGATATGGGTGATGTCCTTATTGGTGGCCAAACAACTGGTAGCGTTTCTAATCCTAAATCTTTCTTGTCATTTGATGCAATTGTACTTCCTAACATGCTTTTTCCTTAAATTTTTTATTTCCAGGATTCTGTTCCGGTGGTTGTGCTGCTATAGCTGATTCTGGAACTTCTCTGATTGCTGGGCCAACAGTAAGTGAGAGGCTATAGCTATCAATATCTTACATATTATTTTCCTGCGGTAGTCCTTTTAAAAAGATCTATTCATTTTTATCCACTCGAGATTATGAATAAAGGACAGTTGAATCATTTTATTGAAGGTTTTTTTTCTCAATGTTATCTATTTACCTTATTTTTTTATAATTTTTTCATGTTGATTCTTTTTAGGGGATAGCATTGTTTTTTTTTATCTTGGCTTTTATTTACTGGATCTTTCAGCAATAATACCGTCTTACCACATTGAAGAAAAAAAAAGATTTTGTGTTTGTATTGTAATTTTTACGTCTTACCACATTGAAGAAAAAAAAAAAAAGATTTTGTGTTTGTATTGTAATTTTTAAATACATTTCTGTTTGTATTCATCTGATTGTTTGTATCATGAATAATTGTTAATTTTGTGTCATTCCATTCTATCATATTTCTGTTCAAAACTACTGAAAATGCAACATGTTTGTTCTGTTTATCACTTAATTAGATATGTGTATGTAGATGCATCTCATTCTGAGCATGCAAGTGTAGAAATAACTACTATTTGGCTGTCTTTTATTCATTTATGATTATGATCGCAAGTCTTAGGAAGATGTAGCTGTACTTTTTTTGATAGTACATCTAATGCAACTTATGTGAAAATATGTTTCGGAACTGATGATGGCGTTTGCTTATTTTTAGAAACGAAGCTATTAAATCACAAAGAGATTTTTGGGGCTTTTACTTACGCACCACCAATTCCTTTGTATTCACATATCAGACGCCTAAACTTTCATTTTTACTCCCTTGCTTTTGGCCATAGGTAAGGTGGCCTGGATGTAAAAAATGAAGTTTAGGTGTCTGATATTTGATTACATAGGTATTGGGTGGGCATGTAAGCAAGTTTCCCTAGATTTGTTTATGTTAAGAAAGAAATATCTTTTCCAGCAAAAATGAAATGTTATTTTGTGGGAGTTGATCTGTGTCACATGTTAGATGGTAGGGATGTACTTGAATAAAATTATGTATGTAGAGAGCAAACAAAAAAAAAGAGATAGACCACCTTAAATAAAACTATGTATTTTAGGAGGTAAGAATTTGTTAAATTGTTAGATGAGAAAATTAAACTTCGTGCTAGAATTTTCCTTCATGTGGGATGTAATGACTTGTTTTGATAAGGTCATGAAAAAATTAGGAGCAAAGAAAAAAGGAATTGCACATACATTGTTTGAGTGAGAGATAAATGCGCTTTTAAGTGGAAAAAAGTGTAACTATTTAGAGTATAATAATAATATCAATAGTAATAATAATAGTAATTGCTATTGTTATTTTAATTATTATT